TCCTTTCCTTTCCTTCCCTTTCCTTCCCTTTCTTTTTCTCTCTTTTTTCTTTTCTTTCATCTTCCTCCTTTTCCTATCTCTTTAGTTCCTTTCTCGGTTTTGTTTTCCCATGTCTTTCAGTCTCTCTTGCCCTAATTCGTCATTTAACACTAAGAGACCCAGTATCATACAATCCTCTAAAACAAGGCGTTGGTTTAATAACCTGTAACTTAAAACATCCGGCTTTATCCTGCAGTTAGCATTCTTTTCTTATAGAGATCAATACTCCAGTAAAACCAATTTCCTAAAACTCTAGAATAGCTTTTTTATTTACCTTAAGTTGTCAGTCGCCAACAAGAAAAAAAACGCTTGCAGGGGATGGGTCTTACCTGATTATCAGTTGAACTGAATTCAAAAGCCATGTAATTCACTGATTTTTCAGTTATTTGTTCAAGTTTTCCTTTTTGATATAAAAAGTAAACAACAATTGTTTCCAACCAATAACTCGGGACCACGTGTCTAACTCATGACAGAATCTTATTCTATACAAGATGAGTCATGTAAATGTTCAACATAGAAGTACGAGTACTTTAGATACCTTTGCGTGGGAGCCGCGTTGATACAGTCGACTAGTCGCATATGTACAACAGAATTAAGCAGTCTTATTTGTCGAAGAACAAGTCCACAAGTCAACTAGCCATGCCGTAGAGATAGTAATGTCCTACTAAATCAGTATCGACGGTACAAGCCCCGAGGCGAAGAGCACTGAGCTCCTTTATAATTTCCTTGCTTTTAACTCTTTCTATCGCATAAAGCTTAGTTATTAAATTTGGGTATACAATGCTTCCTATTTAATTCGGGATCAGTACCGCATTAGCCATGCGGAGAAAAGAATATTAAAAGGGGTAACATTTTAACACCGCTTTTCATAAGGTTCTCATTTTTACGTGAAAATGATCTATTCAAAATATAGAAAAAAAAGATCTTGATCATGATTGGATGTCAGTAAAAGCCATTGACTGTACAGCCAGTAAAACGTTTAAACTCTTTACATTAGCACGATAAATCATTTATGCAGTGTAAGTATAGTAAAGTGTTGGAAGCCAGTAAACTTTACTGAATTCGGAAATTACTATTAAGATTAGTTATTAGGAGCTTTCTTAGATGAAAAAGATCTAAATTGCTATTTTGGCATTTGTTTGTCCCGATGGCAGCAAAACACTCAAGTAACAATCCCGTATCGTAGCGGCGGTTATTATCAAGCCTATATTCACCTATTTCAAAATAACGTCGTCGGTCGACGGAAATCTGAAATTTAAGTGACATGCTGTAATGTATGTAATATATTCACACCCGAACAATGCCTTTTCAGTTTGCAATATGATCGAAGCATGAACTTTGAGTTAGGAATGGGATTTTTTGTTTCTTAGTCAGGAAACATAAAGCACAAATATTCCGTTTAATCTTAGATTGCCCTTCGACGTTTTTAGAAAAAGGTGTATATATTTTATCGCCATTTAGTTCTAGATAAATAAAGTGAGACAAAAAGAAATAGAAATATAGAATTAACTGAAAAGAGAAAAAGAATAAAGGGATAAATGAAGAGAAGAGAAATGAAATGAAATGAAATGAAATGAAACAAAGAAACGAGAATCGTCAGTGCGAGGAACAAAGAATAACTGTTCTCGTGAAGCCAGTGAAGCAAATAGTGATTTGCGAGTAAATTACCAGGAAATCATCAGTATCGTTATCAATCATTACTGTAGTTACTATTCCAATCAGCCTGCATGGCCAGGAACACACGCGCGGACCACATTACCAATGGTTTAATACGTACACACCATACCAAACCTTATTCGTCATCCATTCTATCATTAAGTATAGTTTTGATTAAAGCAAGATATGCCACACTGTATGTTGTTGCATTGATACTTGAGTCTCATCACGAGTCACAGCCATAGGGCTGCGCGAGATGTCTGTAAATGTACGACAACCCAGATAACAGTCATGATTGATGAATCAATACGAATGTACATAGTAGACTCTGTTTGTTCAGATACACTACGTCGTCCCTACCTGGTCTGTTCCACACATCGAACACTGGCAGTGAACTGATTATGATCTATTGGTAGTTATAAGGTAAGACTGTGCAGGCCAAGACGTACGCTGAGTTGTGAGTTATCTGGAATGTAACCACATTCAGGGTTTGGAGGCAAATGAGGTCAAGGGCTTTCAACTGATTGCTATGACAACAGTCACGTGTTGGAGGAGCGGGATATCAGTACTACGGTACCATTCATAATATAATAATCCTATTGATTCTCATTCTACCATTCCTTCTTTACAATTTTCCCGCCTTTGTCGTCTTTGCAGTGATGACACGGGTTTTTCCAAGTGTGTTCTTACCTATAAGAAGGAAATAATCCTTTGACCAAAAAGATTATCTACAACCACGTTTAAGAGAGAATAAAGTGGCGCGGTTCATTAAACATTTCAGAGGTGTTAGGATCGCAATTGAAAAAAGTTAGTTAGATGATAAGTATGAGCGTTAATAGAATCTGGTCAACATTAGAAACGTTACTGAGAAAAGCATGATCAACAACACATACAGGATAATGAAGCTAGAGGCACTTAGACTCGCTGTATCACTTGTCCTCATATTTCATCATGGCACTTCTGTCACAGGCCCTATACTTTCACTGTCACCGACCATTTAAATGATCTCTTCATTCACTTCTCACTCGTATAGCATAAAGCCTATATACTGACAGTAGAATTTATTATCTATTCTAATTGTCATGGCAGTTTTAGTCTTTTCACAAAGGCACGATGGCTTGTGTGAAAATCACAAGGCGGTTTTATTCACTAATGGATGTCATAAGCAGTAATATTTATGAACTGCGCTTAGGCTGATCTTTCTTATGATCTATCTCAATTCTAACTTTTCGCCATATACGAGTTAATCAAAGGATGAAGTCAATAAATAATACTTTGGACTAGTAGAGTTTATTAGGTCTCTCTCTTTTGATTGGAGGGGTTTTCTTGGGTTCTCCGGTTTTCGTCCAAAAGGAGTTATTCGTGCCCTGACTCGTAAGGCAGAGGACCTTTCCTTTTACTGAGCCGGCTGTCTATGGATGTACAATGAAGCTACTCACCTTGAACAAGAATAGTTTGTTTGAATCGCGCCTTAACGGTAGGTTGCTTGCTTGCCTGTGGTATGGAACATATGATGAAACACTGCTTATTACCTACTGAACTTAACGCTAAACCCCGAGATTAACAATGCTAATGCGCATGTCAGTATCAGGCAATCACACCCCGCTATCCGATAGCATCGAAGTCCTATGTGACTCAATTTGTTGATGCCTTTCTGGATCTTCATCATTCTTATACGCTCGACGTTATTTCGATTAGTACTACAATTTTTCAGTTGTTCTTCGATCTTTTTCTGCGCGTTTCCTTAGTAAATAAAGGATAACGATTTGATGTGCGATATTTACCTAATACTGATTTATATTGGGATTCATTTCTGTTGTTGCAAAGTATCGCATAACTACTGACATCACTTATGTACTTACATGGCGCCTCCTTGGCTTTGCTGCAAGATCTCATTTGACACTCAATGCAGTTTTGACTCGAGTTAAATAAACATCGTCAAGATTTCAACAAAGGGTGGTCATAGTAACTGTTACCAAGGTTACCGTACCGAGTATGTTAGTATTACAGCTAAATGAATAGCATTAGTAATGAAACAGTTTTCGGGCCATTCAACTTAAGATAATTTATGGCTCTCAAGACTTGCTACTAACTCATGGCTCGTAATCTTAATCCGTATACCCAGAAAAAATATTGTTATTGCACCGACAGGTAATCCATGCACAAAAGAACTATAAGGATTAGCTAGTTGTATACTAGGTTACTATAATATTACATCAGTGATTCATGTTAATACTGCTACGTTCATAGTAACCTTTTCTAGCGCAAACGATCACCACAAATGAAACTCGTTTACGCATATCTTAATAAATATTATTGAATGATGTTTGATTGCATGTACTTTTACTATACCATATATCTATATATCTATATATCTGTATATTATTTTTCGTTTACTTGTTTTGGTAAAAACATTTAATCATGTTATCATCGTAGTCTAAGGCAAAATAGTGTTTGGATGTTGAGCGCGTTTTGTTAGCCGTTAAACAGTGATGTTTGGTGCAATATTGATCTGTCTTTGTAAGAGATCAGAATGGCGTCAGGTCCAGCTAACCCAACCAATATACTAATGAGATCAAAGAGATCATCTCAGATATACTTCATGGGGTACTCAGAAAGCTAACTATCTGTACTACTCTAACTGTAGCATTCGGACTAGTCTATCTATCCATTGGAACATATAACATCATTAGGGGAACCAGGGGTGGTTACATGGAATCCCACTCTGTAAAGCCGTTCATGTTCTTCACGCTCATTGAATGAACTTTATTGAAATTATGTTTTGTCTTTAAAATGCAACAAATATTCACAAAAAAGCTTTACTAACGCATCCGCGATGAGGCGTGTTTGCCGGTCGCTTGTACAGCTTGCAAAATTCTTCGATTACTGAGGTACAATACATAACTAACTGAGATGAAAGGTTGAACCATTAGGTCATGTAATTCTAACAGCTTTAATACTACATGGAATAAATATCGAAAATATGTTACTGTTTTGTGATAGATTTTTGGATGTGTAGGTAGTGAACGGCGATTACGTATTTGTTTTTCCCTCAAGCAAAAACAAACTAAATGGAAAATGAAACTTAGAACTAAAAGGGAATGAAATGGGATGGAATATTTTACCAACTGTATATTCGACTTATTAAATTGTATAACTCACAGTTTCCTTTTGACAACCAATAAGCGTCCCTTTGGTCATCAGTCAAAACTTTCAATAAAACAAGAATTTTCCTAATTCACTGACTGGCTGATCCGACCGATGCGCTTGACAGCTCAATAGAGGAAACCTCAGCTCACCTCTTGCTTTCAGCTTTTTGTCAATGTGAACAGGTGTGACAGATTCTAGGATTATCTTGGAAGAAAACTACTGCGGTTACAATTTCTCGTGTCACATATCAATGCAAATGAATTACTTAAGGTGAGAGTGACTCAATGGATAATTGAAAAGTAGGTTCTTGACTTGATGAATATTTGATAAACATATCACCTTGCTATGATCAAGAACAAGCCAATGTGGAAGTTAGCTAGTTAAAAAAACTTTTCTTCTTCTGCAAATATTATTTAACATCAAATTATGGCGACCCAGCCAGTAAACGCTTGAAAACAAAGACAAGTTGACCGTTAATAATCACAAATAATTGATTTGCTTTTTACATCTTACGTTCATTTTATGGTTTTCTTATTACTAAAGCACACAACTCAGATGGAATTGAACAAAGTACTTTTCGATTAAAAACAAAATTAGCACTTTGTACAAAAACAAACCTCAATCACAGAAGGAGAAAAATCAAAGAGAAATCAGATCTTGTGGTTTATCACTCATTCATACTTGACTGTCCAAATATCAGACAAAATAGATGGTTGATCAAATCGATCAATCTTCCTCGTTACCCCAACCATCGTAGGAGAAGTGGTACAAAACTGCTCAGATAAACCAAAACGAAAAATGAATTATGTAATAATGATAATAAATAACTGGAAGACTGGAAAAACTTTAGCCTAGTTTGAAGAAATTCCGCGCAACGTTGACTGAATTCGTTTCTTAAAATCACATCATTTTCATACTACATTCAGACGACAAAGAATTGATGAAAAATGAATTCCTTTTTTCCCTTTTAGCAGCTGTTAAGAATGGAATCGTATCCAATTGCGATACATATTTGATGAAGCAAGGTTTTAGCAATTAGTAGCGAGTGAGTATCGAGCCCGACATCATAGTGCTTATATATATATATATATATATATATATCCATGTCGATATTTACTTTAGTGAAAAGAAGCTATTCATACACAGGGAAGCCTGAATTGAATCAACATGAGACTTTCCATTAACTACGTTAAAATAAGATGCAGCAATGTCGTGACTTATCAACTACAGGAATATCTCAACCTACACTGGATCAGTGTCTGATCATCAGATATGATATCAACTAAAATATTGTGTACTTGCCGAGGGTGGCGAGAAACAAGCATAAGGCGAAAATAGTTATCTGACACTATGCAAAACTGACATCTATATTAATCGACTCAACGCATATGACGTCACTATATGGGAATAAAACGCGAGAAGTAAAGGAATAAAATGACCAGTTCTCTTTATTAGTAACACTACTGAACATGTAGATAGTCATGAGTCAGTTATTAAAACACATCATCGATTACCGGATATGTACCGCGGCCAACGTACCCAGGATGATTTCAGTGAAGGCGGAATAAATGCAGACTATACCTTCCTCTCTAGATTTCACATTACTCTTTATTCTTGAGGCGGCTAGTGGCTAATCATCCAGTCCACTCACCCCCTTCGATCCGCCCTTGATTTTCCTTCATGATTAAGATGTTCTGAGAAAACACTGAAACCCACTAAGAGATAAAGGATTCAAGTGATAGAAAGTAGATTTGCCTAAGATATCATAGATGGTTTTACGATTAAAGATCATAACTAGAACTTACTTCCTTCCATCCTTGCATGATCTACACTTACTTCCGCGCGGTAAACTAATTGGAAATAAGCAAAGAAAAGGCCACTACCTAAAAATTGTGCATTTACAGTGTTGCACTTAACCGATTGATTGATCGATGGGAGAATTTGTTTGTCAGTTACAGTCAGCAGCTAAGTTGAGTTGTTTTGTCATGAATAGATAAGCTAAGATGTATAAGTATAGCTATGACTATATATTGCTTATTTAGTGCCACTGATGCACATTAATGCGGATAGTGCAAATACTGAGTCAAGGTTTACAAGGATAAGTAAGAAAACAATTCGCCAATCAAAACCAAGAGTTCAAGGTCCAAAAATCAGGACTTTGATTAAAATCAAATAAACGGTCTTGATTATTTTTGTCTTTGAACCATAATTGCTTTCTCTACTGATGTGTGCGGCCGTCAAGCACTGCGCGCTAGTTGTGCATGGTGAACGTGATTGAAAGAGATTCCAAAAGACACTTTTTGCCCAAAATCAATTTAAGCAATTAACCATACCTCGAGTGATGTAGGCAAGATTTTGGTTCTAAGCAAACAAATGTTAATTCAGTTAGCAAGTTTTTTTATCGAAATTGAAATCGGAATTAAGATGTTTTCTTCAAATCTTGTGGTTTGCGTGCTTTCTCATTCTTAATTGCTGAAAAGAAATTGCTTCGCCTTCAGAATTTAAAACCGATCAGAGTTTTGTCTCAGTGAAAACGGCCTGCTTTGTCTGCCTTTAAGGATTGCAAGAATACTTATGGTACGTAGAGTGACTGACTGACATGGGGCCATGAACTACCATGCAAAAGTTACTGAGAAATAGAATAAAATGAATGGTTCAAATGATGATATTTTTTATGAATGTCGAGTGCCGTGTGAATAAAAGATGAGAAATCGTAATCCAATCAATGCTGAACACAGAATCGGATTTATTTGCATCTTGAGTGGATTGAATTTATAATAAAAAGGGATTAAAAAGTCGTATTTTCAGGGTAACTAACATCTCTTGATCCGGCAAAGACAAAAATCACCTTCCTCCTTGAGTAACAGCAGCAGCAACAACAACCTGCTCAGTTACTACCGAAAAGACTTTTAAACCAAGGCACCGGAAATGAAAAATGGAAATGTTATGACTAATATCATAATTATCGCATACAATTATTAGTAAACAAAAAACAACCAATCAGGCTGCGAAGGAATGAACTGACCTTGAAGTGAATCATATCGCCATCACAATCAACACCGACAAACAGCAAGGATCGCGAACAACTGATCGAAGGTGAACTGATCGGCTGGTAAAAGGTCGTTCGATTACAACCATACAGTTCGATCGCGGTATGGAAAGAATGAAATCATACAGTAATAAATATAATCAATTCATTTGTTGCGTTCTCTATCTATAAATCCATCTATGAAGCACAGCACGGCTCTTTATACGGTTAGACTCCTACAGTCAAGAATAATGTTGCTTGGGCGTTCAAAACAATAACTAGGAATCGGAGTAGCCACGGAAGAAAAGCGGGGGTATTCTACTGAGAAATGTAGGTCAGTTGATTCTGTTGATCTTATCAGCTAAACGATATCAAATTGATGTTGAAAAGGAAAAGGATTGAACAGATTTAATGATAAAGCAGCTGGAAATGATTAAATCACCACACCAGTTGACGAAGAACAAATTAGTTGTACGGTTCAAATACAGGAAAAAAAATAGTTTTCACAGAATCAAAAAATATATCTTGGCATTGATGTTAGAAAAAACTGCATACTAAACAATGACTTTTAGGGTTAACTTTCGTGTCGATATGTCTAACCTGCTGAGCCTGTTTTGCCGGTCATGAACAGTTCAGTCACTGCTCTTGGTACCGCATCCGCAAATAGCTACTCATACTAGTAGAAGCATTCGGGACGGGATGAAAAAGGACAAAAATATCTACTTGGACATAGAGTATTAAAAGTCCAAAGAATTATTGTTCGCATTCTAGTCGTTCGAACAGTATTTAGTGATATATTATACGAACACATACCTCGGGTTAGAATGTTCTGCTTCATTCACCGTGTTGGATCACCAGCCGCCAAGGAAGATAAAGCCAATGTGCAGATAATATGAACACTAAAAAGGGCGTACGTCAAAGTTATTATTTCAAACAGGATCGCAAATACGTCTTGTAAGGTCATGACGCCTACATAATTATATTATACTACCAATACCACACAGCTATTCTTCTAATCAGTCCATTACTATGATCAATGGATTGAAGCAAAAAGGTGGCAACCAATTAGCACTAGTTCACCTTTAGTGTATATGCACCATCTTGCACCATCAAGACAAATGGACGGCACCTGATTTCACAAGTCAGCTATGGACAAAATCAAACACTGCGCTACTGAAGGATTTACGACACAAATACTTCATGTTTCTTTATTTGTTTTTCACTAAAAGAAATATCAGTGTTTATCTTTCTATTGTTAATTGCTATTGGTGTTTGGTTTTTTTCTCCCTTTGATTGCAAATCAAATCAACTGTCTTGTTCATTTTGGAATGTTGTAGAAATATGCTGACAGTTTCGCAAATTTCGCCGCTTTGGCTGATCAGTTCCAATGGTTGTTATGCATTCACAGTGTTATTTGTACTATCTAGTATATAAGCGCCATTATTTTCTTTACTCTGACACATCTAATACAGGATGTTTAATCATTTCAACGAATTTTTTATAACGCGAAAGTAAACATTTAAAATCAACAGCCCTGCGTGCAGATGTATGTGTATTCATGATATTGTAGGTACCGTAAAAACCCTCATCATATTCATTTATTGCTCGTATAGGAATGTTTAATGAAGACCAGTTTCAGCACATACTCAAATCTGTTTTTTTAAAAATAAACATTACTGAAAAATTCCATTTTCGTATTTTCAAGTACAAACTGCGCAATTTGCTACTTAGCGCTTTCCTTCCACGATTCGTCTTCATAATCAAACATGATTTCTCGGAGTGAGTTAATAGGATCAGCCGCGGCCCAGACAAATGTGTTCCTGCGCAAGTGATTTATATTTTCAGCGTGATGTTCAAGTGGCAGAAAGATGGTTAAGATTTGCACAAACTAATAAACGAATTAAATGACATTGTCACTCTTTCTGACATCTTCGGTTCCTGTTTGCGGAATCTAATACAAATCAGTGCATAGTTTATGGAGCGATAGATCGTGTACAGCCGAGGGCTTAGACGTTTCCTACCCAATGACTTTGATTTCCTTCATAGTGAGAACTGAACCTATCGATGGTTTGATACCTAAAGTAATCATTGGTAATCACTTTGGATATAAAACAAGATCATTACTGATTTTTTTACTATTGCAATAGTGAACAAAACAGTCATTTGCACGACACGCAAGGATTTTTTTCTGTTCGTAATTTTGCGATTGAAACCAATAATTATAATGTTGACTATTCTTCAGCGTCTTCTCCAAGCTGTTGCAAATGACATTTGAAAGAAGAAGACGGTAAAATTATAGTACCATATAAATTGTTAGTCCATAAGTGCCGATACCCAAGGAGATGAATCACCAACAGTATTCAAGTGACAGCTGATGCGCATGCGCACCTGTTGCGAGCAATATACTGACTACGAAATAAAGAGATTAAAGTAGGAGAGATTAAAGTAGGTAAGTCAGTACACCATCAAACACTCGGTGGCCGTTAGGTGATTTAGATAAGCCTAGGTGAACGATAGCTGAATACAGTACTTGATACTGTGATTTTTTTAAAGGTACGAAGGATGGATGTATCTGGTTATGTCACAGTATCAGCAAAAACATGTGTGTGTGTGGGTATTGCGTGAGAGATAACTGTGGCTTTGATTATTTCAAGATACGTAGATTCATACCTGTTCGATAAAGAGACATCTGCCTTGAAGATATAAGTGGATCTTGAAGAAAGTATTGAAGTGTTAAAATTATTAAAATTTCTCTAAACAGAGAAAGGCTTCAAGATAACTCCATTAAAAGATCTTGGTGAACAGCGTTGAATAGCAAGAGCCATGTTTGACATTGGTGATTAGTTCACAGAAAGAGCGGCTCTAAACATGTGATTTTAGAATGATTAAGTACATCCTATTTGTAGAGACGAACCTATGGTGTTATGGCTAAAGCACGCAAAGAACAAAGGGTTCCGACTGTGAAGACTTTATGTTTCCAAACGATTCTATTGTTAAAGTCATACTCATTTGAAATTATGAAATGTTTTTTGTCACTCGGTAATGATCTATATGTTAAGTGTTCACAGATTTCAATTGTTATTATAGATCGATGTAATAAATTGATATTTGGTGTTTTATTTGTCCTCTAGATGACAAATATTTACTGAACACCAGAGGTATATGCATGCAGAAAACAATTAATGGCAGGCCGCGCCTATCATTATTACCCCAATATTCCTAACAAGCACTCTTCCATTGGGATGCTGTACATTTTTTTTCAGTTTTAATTTGCCAACAGCACTGTGGGCGTTTTTGAGGTACAACTGAACTTGCACTACATTCTGTTTACATGACATACTTTAGTACCAGAAAGTCATAACAAATTATAACCACTTGACCTGTGCGAAAGGATTTTTAAATAAGAGCATCTTGTCACTTAATAAAATCAAGCATTTCATAAATGCGTTTATCAATGGTAAGCTTAATCCCATTAATGCTTTTTCCTCAATTTGCCGATGAAGATATTCACAATCTTACCCTTGACTAGATAATTGCCCTATTTCACTATGACGTCACTGCTTGTTTATGTGGGGGATAGAATCGCCGAATCCAATAGAAAATTCAACAAAATTTGCTCCTAGCGAAACAGTTTAATCTAAAATGGCCTGGTTTTCAGATATAATATGTGTTAATATGTACTAAAAAATATCATGAGAATTTGCTGGCTATTCTACTTCTCTTCGTGGATTGATACGGGTTTTAGAACAATTTTCGGTGAATTTGCGTCCTTTGCGTTTAAACAATAGATTGTTTTGATGTGACGTCATAGTGCAATTGGGTTTAAATCCCAGATCCAGTGCGCACACTCACATTACGCATCTGATGCCCACAGTACAAATATTCGTTACCAGCGGTCATACGCAAGCCACGCATGTTCACATTCAAGCATAAACAATATGGCGAGATTTAGTGTTGCTTGTTGCCTTCTTCAATTTAAACGGCATTTTTCTCGGTAACTTAACAGCTGATTTTCAAAGTTCTTGAATATTTTGTTGGGGAATTCACGTAGGACTCAAAGAGTTTTGTTTTATTTTCAGTTTGACTGAGGTTGGACGGTTTCAGGTGCCCAAATCACAAGGAACATATGAAGCTGGCCAGGTACGTTATCCTAAATTGTATTCATATTCAAACCAATATTTAAAAGTTCTAATATAAGAATCCAAGAAATTATTATCCAAGTGTTTTTATGTTGTAGTATTGTTACTTTTCATTGAGTCCTATAGCTACACAAAGTAGAAGCCTTTTTATAAGCAAACTATTAATTTTGGCTTGTCTGATTAGCATGAACAGTTGTAACTTTAATATGTATTGTTCAAACGTTAATCTCAAGGGAAAACTATTCGTTTGGAGCTTCATGCATACATAATTATTCATTATTTACTTATTATATTTTTTACAGCTGTTTCTGCACAAGATATTTGGCTATCGAGGTGTCCTGTTGTTTCCATGGGTGGCAAGACTGTATGACAGGGACAGAGAAGCCATTGAAAATGAAAAGTAATTCATCCATTTATATGATAACCTACTGAATAAAGCTCTCGGAAGGTTTACTTCTGGTATAGTCATGTTTATAAACTATTCTTTGTATATTTTCCCCCAGAGATTTTGAAGAAACTCCAAGTAACATTAATAACATTAGTAAAGAATTGAAACCAGAATCCAAGACTTACTATCAGGCCTTGATTGACACTAGAGATTCTCCATTCATTGTATGTAGATATTCATGTTATGTAATATATACAGTATGAGTGGCCGTGTTGTATCAGATATACAACCATGAGGTGTAGCCGAGTGATTGTATATCTGATACAACACGAACACAAATACTGTATATGACTTATCAAACGTCTAGGTTAGTTCCTTTGTGTTTCACTAAAATTTTCAAAATTAAAGTGAATCTGGCCAAGAAAATCCAACCTAAAGTTTATGCAAATGAACACAATTTTGTATCAGATTTACAACACTCTTCACGGTCGTGATTTCTGTAGTGTTTTCCTCATAAATTATAAATGAGTTTGATAAATATTATATATTAAATGTACTATTAATATTTCTATGAAAATCATATGTTTCTGGTTATTGTAGTATTACATTGAGTGGTTTCTTTTAGTATGAGCTGGCGGTTCAATTCGCATGGGAAATCAGGCATTTCACTGCCATCAAACCATTCTGAATTTATTTCCAAGGGGAGTGTTTGAATTAAAACTCAAAAAAATTAGTCTTCATATAGAAATTTAAGCCACCCTGGTTATACTGCTTAATGATTTTTTAGCTTTGATGATCTGAATATCCTAGAATCGAAAAATACTCGTTCATATTTATGCAGACTGAGTTGCAATGCTCATATGCACGGAACTTCAAATGGCTATATCCAAAGACAAATAATAGAGTAGTAATTCTTGGATTCTAAGATATATAGATTATAAGAACTAGCCAATAAACAATAAACTGCAGTCGTACTTCGGTCTCAATTTACTAAATATAGACAAATTTCTTAAAGTTTCCATTTAAACACCCCACTTAAATATATCCGAACAGTTTGATTGACAGAAGAGAATCGCCAAATTTCCAATGGATTTGAACTAGCGCCAGCTCGTAGTTATGAACATAGTGGTAATGACTATTTTTCTCTATTTACAGCGTGCTCAGCCTGAGATAGTGACATTCCTTGGACATGAATCAGATAATGCATTATATACCATCCCAGGTAAGGGCCTCTATTGACAACAGTGTTACTCATACTGAAAGGACTACTCTGTGTAAATAAAGGCTATTAAATATTGTTAATGGTCTTGGATGTTTATTAGCTACAACAAACTACCTTACAGTCACATATATATCAGCATCTTGCAGCCCAGTTGCCTGATGACATCATTTTACTACTACTACCAGAATGTTTTGGGATTTTTCTTTCTTATTTTTATTCTCTTACAAGAATAGAAAGATGAATGGTGCTAATTAATTTAACAAAAGAAAGTGTGCAAGGGAATTGTTCGCATATGATGCTATAATGCAAATGTTATTATTAATGTTTATAATGAAATATGTTGAATCTTGCAGGTCTAGACTATGTGTCTCATGATGATGTCTTACCATACATAATCGGCGACCCGTTCTCAAAACCAATTAATCATGAATTGTTTAATAAATTCCTTACTCCAGAACCAGGAAGAGGTAAGAAAGGGTTATTGCAATAATATCCATTAACTAGTAGTAATGATAAAGAAGTGTAGTGTATTGTGAGTTACAAACAAACTATGTGTTAGATTACGATAAAACAAGAGAGAGTGATTTGTTTGTTGTCAAGACATATCACATAATATTGATTACAACCTGCTTGTATATTGTACTAGTTCCACCATTCACCTGTAAAGATGCTCTGCAAGTCTGGCAGGAAAAAAACTACAAATGGTTAGAACTGACAGATGTTCACAGAGAAACAACCAATAATGTCAGGGTGACTGTTATGCCTTTCTTTATGGGAGTTAAAGTGAGTTTCTTCAAATCCTTCACATCTTATTTACACCTGCAGGTTTAATGTTTTATGCTTAATAGTTACTTTTCTTATCTTTTTACAGAATGTTCAGCCCACACCAAGCTATTGGGTAAGATATCTTTTTTACTTATGTATTATAGTATTGTTATGATTCAAAGGGTGAACATCAAATCCTATCCTTAAAAATCTATTCCACTAATAACCCTGAAAAAAATGATTCTATCTTTAAACACGGAATATTGATTGGTGAGCCGAGCCTTTAGTGCATAGCTAGAAGATTAATGTGGTATCCATTTTGTACTTTTCAGTGGCGTTACAGTATTCGCCTAGAGAATCTTAGTCCAGAAACTGTTCAACTCAGAGAAAGACATTGGAGGATATTTAGTTTATCTGGTACATTAGAAACTGTGAGAGGTAGAGGAGTTGTAGGGCAGGTAAGTGATAACATATCTCTCACATAGGCTCCTGCAAACACACCCTCATATCAATCTTTTCACTTAAGCAATGAATAGATTTATTATTTTTGCTTAAAGTAAAATAATAGACACTATGAACTTTACTTCATAAAGTGGTTACTTAAGGTGCTTCTCAATGGCACATTCAGAACCATCAATTGTGATGAAGTAGATTTTAGTGGACATTAATCAAGGTATTTCCATGACAATCCACAGGCATGTGCCCTTGCAAACTTTGTGTTTTCCAACTTATGTCATGTAAACACATTGGGGAATTGTACAACTTTAACCATGCTATTTAGAAGTACTGTAATATTGCCTCAAAACACCTTACTCCTATGATACTGTAAACCCTACATTCAGTGCCTTAACCAATCTCCTTTTTTTCCTTCAATGTTGCTGTAGGAGCCAGTTTTATCATCACAACAACCTGCATTCCAGTATAGTAGTCATGTATCCCTCCAGGCATCTAGTGGACATATGTGGTAAGCAATGTATAAGACCTCTCTCACTCTAATTCACTTCTGGCAAATAAATGTAGCTGTTTAGTACAAGTGGTGTCCAGTGAAATCATCCAAATGGGTGATGTGGAACTCTACTTTGGGGAAACAGTTCTCTCCTCCCCTCCCCTCTCCCCACTTTATGATTAGAAAATGGCATGTAATAACTTTGAAATAACTTTGTCATTTTCTTGCTATAGGGGAACATTCCGGATGGAGCGTCCAGATGGTAGTACATTTGATATTAGGATTCCTCCTTTCTCTCTTGAAAGCAAAGAAGAAGAAACATCTCCTGTCATATAAGTTCTTAATGATGTTCATAATAGATTAATATGGATTAATGGACTCAAAAGGAGAAATGTGTTGCAAGTGTACTGCCGCATCTGATATGCAGTAAATCAGCCATTACCCAAGATACGGTGAAGACACACAAGCAAGTGCTGACAAATTGGCTAATTGCATCAGCATCTTATTTGATAACACGTTTTGGCACAGGACATCTCTTTAACTTTAACATTTTTATTTTTATTTGTCAATTTTCGGTGTTTTGTTAATTTTAAAAGCTAGTATTACCTCTTTTATGATAAGACATTTATATCAATTCTTTTATATATGTTTGGCCTACTAAATCAGTGTAAATATGTTCTACTATTAAAGCTGGTTTTTACAATGTACATTTTGTCTAACTATGATTATTAAGATAAAATTAGAAATACTTAAAGGTATTATTTTTGGGGCGTCACCCGTCTTGCATGTTATTCTTCATAACGTAACTAAAGATTGAAAAAATTAGCATACCCTCGGTACTAGTTATGTGTACTCGGTTTTTAAGGGCATAAACGAAAAGTCCGACGTATTTATAAGCTATTTTTGGGACTTCCTAAGTGAAAAGATATGGCCAAGGACATGCTGAACGGATGTATCAGTGGGACAGGAAAAAATATCTTCAATCTCTACCTACGCTGTTTTACCTTCAAAATCAACTTAATTCAGCTACCATCGTAATATCGTTGGGCCTTGCATTAAGCGAGGTTAGATATCATGCGAATTAAATCAGACGTGTGGGAGAACAGATAGTATGGCTGATGTTCGACCTATGACGTCATACCACCAGGAAAAGCTTCAAAAGCTTTTTGAGAATCGGAGGTGAAGTTTAGTTTTACATTTTCTAATTACATGTTTACTTAATGTTGGTTTCTTCAGCTCTCAGACACCATGTCTTGCTAGCCTTACCATGTAAAGACCATTTATACGAACTATCTGCAGTAAGTGGGTTTGAATATGTCCATCAGCAGGATAACCAGATTTGCGACCAGCTATCATGACAAATAAAATCATGAATATGAGAAAGGAACCGTACTTAACAAAGAAACCGCAGACAAATCGATTTTCAAGTAATATAGTGGTTGGGTGGTCATCGATTACAGACGCTTCTCCGATCATACTTCCGTAGCATCTTTAGAGATTTCTATAAATAATTTTCATCTTACTTCTCATCTTAGCAACCTTTAATGCCATGAAATGACTCGGTATTGCTATAGTAACGCCCATTGTATTAGTTGTGCGGTGCGGCGGACTCGCTCTACTATTACTGAGGACACATTGTTCGAGGGAGAAAAACGACATTAAGAACCTTGTATTACTAATACAATTTTTTAAATTCATATTGCTTGTTTTCTGATTCGTTACTTTTCCCGTTTTCCTCTGATTTTTAAAACCTTTCCCCCTCACTGATAAGGACTACATTGCGATAATGACAGTATTTTGACCTATGCACCTGGACGGCGGTCCAAGCCGAACGGTTTAATTTGTTGGCGAAGGTTCTAGCGCATTTACTAAAATATCACAATAAGGTTACCTAGTTATAGAGGCTCCGCAAAAAGTAATTTCTTTTAAACTAAGGCCTAATTTTAAACTCCCGCGATGCAGGATCACTAGAGGATCTTTGCCAGTGAACGAAGTCTGCAATGCTATAATAGATTGAGCGACCCTAAATAATAAAAAAAAAAAAAA